ATTAGGAGATATTCTGAACATGATTGAATCAATTTCAATTCTTATATACTTAAAGTTTTTTCTGAAACTGTTTTGAGTACATAGGTAATACCTAATAATAATCCATAGGTTTCAAGTGTTTTTTAGTTATTTAAATCTATAAATTATTTTATTTTTGTTTTACGTATTATCGTATTTAAGTCGAACAAATCAGATTACATTCTTATTTATGTATGCATTAAAGTTAGATAAATTAGCAGATATTTTACATGCATTTCACGATATTACGGTGTTAGCATTCTATAAAATAGTCCTTTGACAGACTTAGGTACATCAAGCTAACAAAACAAAAACAATGATACAAGATATATACAAAAACAGCTTTGTACATTTTTAAATTTAGTTACAAATAGTTAATTTTTAATTTACATACCAACAAAAACCAAATGGAACTTATTTTTTACTCCAATATTTTTTTAATTAGGTACCTATGTGCCACACTTAAATATCATTTTTAATTTTGGTTGTCCTATATGATAGATAGTATGACATGAATAATTTAAGTTAAATACTTACATTACCTACATATCCCCAATTTTTTTTTTTTTTAATTATCTAGCTATAATAATATAATTGTAAAGTTGGTAAAAGAAAATTATTTAAACCAAAAATCTGTATATATTATACAATATACGTAACTTTTTTTACTTCATATTTATTATTATTACTAATATTGATTATAACTAGAATTTATAACTAATATTACTAGTTTAACACAACTATTGGCATTACTCTACACTTAGATAGTCATTTGCAACTATCTAAAAAAATTAAAATTATTTATTTTCTTACTATTTTAGTATTAATTACATAAAATATTTATAGTACGAAAATAAAAAACCTATTATATTAAGAGTTAAGACATTTTAATATTAATATATTCACTTATTATCACTTAAAACATATCGCAGTTCAAAGATTGTTAAAATAAATATATAAATCTACATTTAATACTTATAAATACCTGTATTATAGTCATTAATTTAATGATTTATAATATTTTTTATAGTAATAATAATTTTTAATAGTTCAAAAACAATCTATAGGTTTATTAATTATTAGTTATTACTTATTTTAAATTACTTTAATATAAATAAGTATGATGCTCTTAGAACACTTACAGTGTAATACTCTATAAGTAAACAAGATAAAAATTGATTAAAAACTTGCGTTCTTGTATACAATTTAAGAGTATAAGTGTACGCTTATATTACCTGATATTAGTCAGTCTTTAATAATAGTTTTTTTTTTGCATGACTAAGCAATTTAGTTAAATTTATTAAGCATAGCAATAACTTATATGTAGGTAGGTTTATCTTAAAAATGTTAAAAGAATAAATTATATCACAAAGTTCCTTATAAGTTCATTTCATAAAGCATATTCTACAATATACATAATATTATTTTAGTATATTATAATATGTTGAATTTTAGATTCTCAGTGGAGCAATGAATGTATTACATGTTTATTTATTTTTGTTATATCCAAAACTAATTCTTTTTGTAGCAGAAAAATACTTAAATATTGAACACTGAGAGTATTTTCTAGTAAAAAATTTGATCTAGTTTCTAGTAGGTACTTCGATTAGTCAAAAGAAAAATCCCGGTACCTATCAAAATAATTATAATAAACTTACAAAAATTGCGAGAAACCTGAAATATTTACGCGACACAATATAAGTTGACTAAACTAATTTCGTTTTATTAGTTTGTAGTAATTCAGAAAAAAAATAACCATAAAAACTTGAATACTCACTATTATATTAGCAGTACTAGCGTTTTTAGCAGTCCTAAATTTTTTTAATTTTTTTTTGAAAAATAATTCTAAGTCAAATGCCTTGATAATTCAATATAAGGTTTTTCAAATTTATCTTACCGCCATTTAAAAGTATCGAAAATGTATTGTCATAATTTTTTTTGTAAGCATTTTAAGTTAGAATTTAACAAAAATATGTGTATATTTTTTATAGTTAAATGTTTAAACAAATTGTAGGTAATACTTATAACTTAACAAATTAAAAAGTTTAGTTACAAAATCACATTATTTTTAACGAGCATTTAAATTTAACAAAATTTTAGAATATTCAAACATAAAACACTAGTTTTAAAATCATAAAATATTATAGATACTTAAATTTTTAAACAAACACTTAGAATATTTTTATACACAGTGAAATTTATTAATATTAAAATATTATTACTATTATTAGAGTTCTAAATTAAAATTTTTTTACTGTTTTTATTTTAATGTTAATAAGAATTGAACATTTGGTTAAGAAATTTAAACATTTTACATAAGGCTTCACATAAGTTTCTCTTATAAAAATTAAAAAATATCGATTATATTATAATAACTATATTAAACACAGTTCAAATTTAAACAAAATTAGATATCCAAACGAAAAATAACAAATTTAGTTTTTTAAATCATATTAAGTTATAAGAACTTGAAACATTTGTATTATACGTATTTATATACTATAATTGATACTTTTTTTTAACAATCACATTTTTTAAACATTTAAATAACAAATTCCCAAACTGGGGAACGTGTACACATTTCTGAGGAGGCACAAGCAATTACTACAATTTACAATTTTTATTTTAAAAGATAGAGAAAAAAATTTAATTGAACGGTACCTTTTATCCGTTATTGCAGGGTATCAATAACTGATAACTAATAAATTATCATCAACAAAAAAATAGTAATTCCGAATATTATATATAGTTTATTTGTAAAGTACGTAAAAAAGGTGATCGATTTTTTCAATTTATATGAGGGGGGTGCGAGATTTTTGAAAATCTACAAATGGAGGCGTAGAATAGAAGAGGTTAGGAACCACTGATTTAGACTATTAAATTAAAGAAGAACTCAATTTAGTGCCAAAAATCACTTATAGCAATTTTCATAATTTTTTGCTATAAACACCATTCACGTAAAAATATATTCTTCCTTTTAAAAATTGGAAAATGTTAAAAATCAATTTTAATCTTACGTAATTCGTGTTTGCTTATTTCACTATAAACTATAAATAAGGCTCCAAGAGTCAAAAATAAAATCGAAAAATACACTAATGCTTAATGATTTTTTCATTTTAAAGATGAAGTTAAAAATAAGAACCAACATTTAGTATTGATGTTTTAGTAAATTTCTATAATTTAAAATAATGTATGTATTAAATAATAATATTATATTGCATATTATTTTACAAAATCATATGTTTCTATTTGTTATGAATTGTAAATGTTAATATTATTTTCAATTTTAATTTATCTGTAAACAAATATAGGTAGTATGATTTTATAATATGATAGAATTATCCATTACAAAGAAATATTTATTTTTTTATGTTTAAGTACTTAGTTATCTAATTAATTTCGTATTAGTTAGATTTGTATAGAAAACATTATATGGAAAAATAAAATTATATGTTCCCCGTGTTTAATTTATGAGATTAATCAACTGTATTTAAGATAGCAAGATCTACCTATCAGAAACAGAAATGAAAAAGACGATCCTTATATTATAGATTATGAGTTAGACTTCCGTGATTTTATAAACTTACAGTAGTGACCTAAATTACGATAATGAGTTTCTCAACAAAGAAAAAACAAGAAAATCTAGGGTATTTGACACTTCTCAACAATATCAGAATCTCGACAGCTACCAAATCCTCATCAATTCAGAAATCTCTATCACAGAACTCGAAATTGCGCTATCCAAGTGTAACAGTAAAAGTCCAGGACCGGATGGTATACCTTTCTCTTTTCTACACAACTTACCTAAAATCGGAAAAACATATCTACTACAAATTTTCAACTTAATATGGAACTCCGGTAACATCCCACCCTGCTGGAAACACAGTTGTATTATTCCCATTCCCAAAGAAGGAAAAAACAAGTTTAACACATCCGGATATCGCCCTATATCCCTACTAAACACAATGTGTAAGCTTTTGGAAAAAGTTATCAACCTAAGATTTATGTGGTTCATAGAACGAATCAACTATCTAAGCCCAGATCAAAACGGGTTCAGATACCAGCGTGGTACTAACTTTTCATTAATAAAAATCCAATCTGAAATCGAAAACGCAATAAAAAATAAACAATTCCTCGGAATGGTGAGTCTCGACATAGAAAAAGCTTACGATACTGCCTGGAGACCTCATATCATATTTCTATTAAGATCCTTTGCCAAGGAAACATGATTAAGTTTATCACAAATTTCCTCTCCAACAGAACCTTTCAAGTCAAAGTTAACAATGTTCTGTCTGAGTCGTTTGATCAACAAAACGGAGTTCCTCAGGGGTCAACTTTGTCGGTTACGCTTTTTCTCATCTCTATTAACGACATTACAGAATCAATAACTAATCCCGTTAAGTATACACTGTATGCTGACGACTTTAATATTTTTTGTCGTAGTAATGAACTTTTTACCGTGCAGTCACTATTGCAAAAATCATTAAACGACCTTCACAAATGGTCCCAAAAATCTGGTTTCAAATTTTCTGCAGGCAAATCCCAATGCATAACATTTACACGAAAAAAAAAAAGAAAAGAAATTAAATCTCACCATGAACAGTAATCAAATTCCTAACCAAAACACTGCTAAAGTCCTTGGAATAATTTTTGACTCAAAAAACTCGTGGATCCCACACATTAAAAATATTAAAAAAAATTGCGCATCAAGTATTAACATAATGAAAATGCTAGCTCATACCAGTTGGGGAGCCTCCTTTTCCACGTTAACAACTATACATAAATCACTAATTTTATCCAAACTTGAATACAATTCGTTACTGTTTATAAACGGTAACAAAAATGCGTTAAAAATATTAGACACAATCCATAATGCAGCAGCAAGACTGGCAACTGGGGCCTTTCGGTCCAGTCCCATTACAAGCCTACTTAACATATCCAATGTGATGCCCCTGCATATTAAACGCCAGGAAAACGTCATGATGCTTGCCATAAAACTTGCTAAAAACAATATGGTATCAACTGTACATTCATGCCCTTCCATACAAGCAATTGTTAACGAAAATAATCTGAACCTCGAAAACATTATTATCTCCCAAACGCCTTTCTTTCCTCCATGGACCTCGATCTCTAATATGATAGACACAAGTATTACCAGTCTGTCTAAAAACACAACCAGTTCACACATTTACATTCAAGAATTCAAAAACATTTTAGATCAGTATTCCAATTTTATAAAAATCTACACTGACGCATCCAAAACCGAAAGCAACGTGGGAATCGCTATCATATATAATGACGTAGAAGAAATAACATATAAACTTTCAGTAGAATGCTCCATATACACCGCTGAAGCAATTGCTATTCTTAAAGCCCTCGAATATTCACTTGATAAACAAAACAATAACTTTGTCATCCTAAGCGACTCCCTAAGCTCTATAATAAGTATTGCCAACACTCTCAAACCTAATGACATATCAAAGAAGATTCAGCTCGCTATATCTGCCCACCAAGCCAAAGGAAATGTAGTAAAAATAATGTGGATTCCAGGACACTCATCAATAGAAGGAAACGAAAAAGCTGACACGCTCGCGAAAAAAACAGCAGTAAATACCCCCAACAGCATTATCGCAAACATTTCTGCCCATGATGCTATACGCACAATAAAACTCATATCAGCAAAATCCTGGCAAAACCTCTGGTCCACACAAAGAACAAAACTCAATGAAATAAAGCGATCAACCCTACATTGGCCAAACAATCACTCAAATCGCAAAATAGAAACCTGTATTAACAGACTCCGAATAGGTCACACCAAACTCACCCACGGGTACTTAATGTCTCGTGAGGAACCCCCTATATGCCCATCCTGTGGTGTAAATTTATCGATTAAACACATCATGACCGAGTGCAACATCTACCGCGATGCAAGGGAACTCAACCATCTTCCGGAAGACATATTTGAAAGCCTCGGACCTAACCTACCAGTCTCCAATATAATAGCCTTCCTTCAACAGTCTGGTTTGCTCAAACTCATCTAATAACCATACCTATACATTAAATAATTATTTTTATTCTTTGTCTTTTTTTGTCTTTTTTTTTTTTTTTTTTTTTTTTTTTTTTCTAATATAAAAATTTTAAAAAATTTTTTTTTATTTTTTTTTTCCCCATGGGCCTTGCTGCCGAGGGTTTTTTTTTTTTTTAAAAAAAAAAAAAAAAAAAAAAAATCTTTAGCTATGAAATAAAAAAAACTATACCATGAATGAACGTTAAATTGACTTAAATCAATGTTTTTAATTTAGAAAATATTATACCTCTATATAGTTAGTTGCATATTTTACAATTATATGATTATTTTATAAAATAAAAATCTACTGATATTAGAAAGAAGTTCTTACCTTCAGGGGTCAATGCGAGATTGGTTTCCTGGTCAAATAAAGTGTATGAATTGGTTTCCGATAAAATTACGTTCAATAATACAACTGTTCAAAATGGTTCCCAAATAAGATTACTTAAAAGTTATAAGTATTTAGATAACTGATATAGTGATATACTAATACGGACAAATCTCTCGATAATCTTATAATATTTTAATAAGTTGTACGATGTCTGGGAAAGTTTATAAATATTATTTTATATCTATAGTAAATTGATTATGTTTGTTTATCGTTAACGTTATCCTTATGACAACTAACCTATTCACACGTCTGCAAAACTGCCAACTTTTGAACTTACAATTCGTTAAAAATGTATGTTGTAAATTCATACCATACTAAATCTTTAGTTTCATTTACAAAATATTTTTTATTGACCAATATGTATGTAGCGTATATAATATGTATAAATTATTTTTATACTGATCAACATTTTTAACCATACTTAGGTATTCTAGGTAGTGTTTGAAGTATGAAATATTTCAAATATTTATAATAATTCTAGACAGCCCTAATTCAGTGTAAAATAGAAAGGACATTGTTGCTGACTGAAAATATTCTAATAACTTAAAAAAAATAATTTGACAAGATTGTATTATCATGAAAGCTTGCTGGAACCAATTCGTATGTTATCTGTAGACAACTGGGGAACTAATTCGACAATTGGGAACCAACTCGTAGTCACCCCTCTAGAAAACTCATAAGCGGAGGAAATATTCTAATAGATAACTTATCTTTGAAACCTTTACCTATCATAAAAGATCTAATACGTCTTTATATTAAAAAAAAAGTGATACCAAGTACATATTTACCATATTTTTTCATAACTTGAGTTAATTAAATAACATTTAAATATAAGTTTATTAAAAATGGTAGACTCTTTATAAAATAATATGCCTGCGAATTTTATAATACTTGATAGTTTTAACCACTTCCAAGCCAATTAAAAAAAAAAATGTTGTATTAGATAATATAGTTCATTATCTATCCAAATAAAATAATAAAAAACATGTAAATTATTGAATCAACAAAAAATTTGAAATAAATTCTTATTTTACAAATAACTTTAAATGTAATTTTATAACATTTTACTTTTTGCCATTATAATGTCTTTTTGACGTCATCAAACAGTTATATTACTATGTAATGAAAAATTAATTCAACATACCATAGGTAATAATAGAAAAATAAATAACTTATAAAGTAATTTAAATAAATTAAAAAATATTCATTGAAATAAAGGTAGGTTTCTACTCATAATTATTATTTTTCGAAAGAACACTACGATATATTATTAAATTCAAATTTATTACATCCATTATTAAAATGATCTCAATCACGAGGTATCTACACTTGAAACCTTCTATATAGAAGAGTGACTTTACCGATTTTTACATTATATATTTTTATTTGTATGAAATAAATACCTTGATACTAATGTTTTATAGATAAAATAAGTATTTTTGTACTTTTTAACTATAATATACAATATGCTATTATTATACGTACTTGAATTTGTTTGATTCATTTTTTTTTTTTTTTTATTGAACTTAAGCTTTGGCGACTAGAGCCATTAGCTGTTATAGGGGTTATGAACATATTATATTCACCACATATTAAATCTGATATTATATCATGCAGTATCACAAATATATAATCAGTTTATTATTAATAATTCCTACACAACAATAATAAATACTTAATTCATTAATACAATAGTTTCTTATTTTTAATTATAGTATATATAAAGTTTGGCTTTCTATATCATATCAAACTATCTCGTTATGGTGATTTATTATTTCCACATTAAAACATCAATATTATAATTTAATATTTAAATAAACTAAATTAATTTAAAAACATAAATGAGTACCTACCTATAATCTATAAATCTATTTACCTATATAATATTTATAATAACACTTAAACGCATTCATGGTTTATGCATGGTCCCCAATCCCCATCATAGCATCAATAACACAATACACAGGATCGCGTTTGTGATTAGTTGGTACGTATAAGACCACGCTAAATACCGTCTGTGATTGGTCTTCACGCGTGGCGTTTCCCACGGACGTCGTCCGTAGTTGGTTATCAGTAATTGTCCCTTCTGTTGCCATGGTGATTGTGCGCCAGCGCATTAATGCACCACGCCTCGAGATTCATCTTTTAATTCTATTGGTGCACTAGCACAACCCTTATTTTATACTTTAAAAGTATAAATATTATGTATTAGCTACATTAAAATCTATTGTATAATATTTTATTATATATTTATAATAAATGTTTAACCGTTTCTTTAGTTTTTTGATATCAGATATTTCATGTAATAATATTATGTTATTAAATATTTGTTTAATGTTGATCTGTATCGTTTTAAGCATCCTATTTACGTAATTTTTGCAGTATAAAATTATATTTACCACTAAATATACGGAATGACGGTTGAGTTTTCAATAACAAACACTGTACTTTTTACGAATCTGTAAGCATATACCTAAGAGTATATATTGTAATTTTTCAGAATAATTCGAATCCATAATAATGTTACGGACCATGTAATATTTAGTATATTTTAAGACATATATATTATACGGTGTGACGGCACATGCTCCGATTAGTTAATTAAACAAGACAATATAACTAATGTGAGGTTAGGGCAAATAGTGCACTATCTCTATCACATGTGAGCATTATTGTATTATTTAATTAAGACAATTCAGGTATGATCACACGTCGCTCACTTCTAGGAAAAATTGAAATTCTGAGTGTAAGAGTCGACAAGATAATAATCAAAATGCGAGAACCCTCCTGTCATTGAAAGTTGCCACCACTAAAATCGGATTTCTTTGTCATGAACTAACCATTTATATGCGAAAGACCTAAGCAAGAGCTCTGCTGACGGTTAGGGATATTCGAGACGCTTATAAAGGCAGGTCATAACACCGCATCACAGCTTACCAAACATTTTATATTTGCAATATTGTATTTTTATATCTAAGTTAAATTAAATGAAAATTTTCTATACTCTTAATCAGTGGCGTAGCCAGGATTTTTTTTAGGGGGGGTTTTTTTTGTAATAAAATGTAACTAGTGAAGGATTTCACACTCCCTGAAATGTACTCATAAATTGTTTAAATAAATTATAATATTACGATTAACTTTTAAGTATTTATTTAAATAATAGTAATAATAATAATAATAATGATGATGATAATATAATTTTTTTCCTTTTTTTATAAATATATTAAACAAAAAAAAAATAAATAAATAAAATAAAAATTATTATACAATAACAATAGTGTTTAATAACATATTATGTTTAAGATAAAGTTTATCTTAAACCGTGGTAGTGTGTGAATACGGCATAACAGAATACATTTTACCACGACCAAATGATTGTATTCCTATATTATAAACATTATATTTTTGATATAAATACGGCCGAGGGAGGGGAGGGATTTAACATCCAAAACCACCCCCCTGGCCACGCCACAGCTCTTAATATATCAAGTACCTACTCGTATTTCATTTCTGCGTTGATATATGAATCGACGTTGTAAACAGGACGCAACAATAATTATGTTATCCATTGAACGAACTATTCATATTTCGACACAACTTTTATTAAACCAATATGCCTACCTAATTAAAAAATAACAATAAATAAACTTTATTTAATCATAACACATAATTTTAAATTTGAGTTGTACATTATGTATAATATTTTATTGGTATATAGGTAATAGTTATAACCTTGAAAAATTGTTTTTAACGTGTCTATAATACATTAAATAAGATATACTGCAAATAATTAAATATGTATAGTGTATAATAAAATAATAATATATAATGTATCATAGTACGTTGTATATAACCTATGTAGTATACTAATACGTGCTATGTGTGTTCTTCGTTTGTTGTTATTAATTTATAAATCCCATCAGATATCAAGCTAAAACTATATAATATAAGAGAAAATCTAATCATATAAATATTGTTTTCTCAGTCAGTGTTAAGTAACTTTTAATCAAATTGTATAATCTATTTATATTATTATGATACCAAGAGTATATGTTAGATTTAGAAAGAAAAACTGTTTTGAGGTATAACATCATTCCATCGCTTTTATGAAACACAGGTTATAAACTAATTTTCGTATTCCACACATCATATTATATATATTATAGTTACGAATAATGAATAGTGTGTATCTAACATGAAATTTCGTACAATCGCTTATGGGTGCACGGGAAACTTTCCCCGTGTGTTGTATACGACGCGCCTGTCGTACAACATTAATTTTCCTATAAGTAATATATTATATTTACTTAAATTACAAATAAAGAGAAAAATATGTAATAAAACAGCTATTAGGTATACTAAACAAATTAATAGTCTCCTTATATATTATATTTTTACGTGATGGTTGTGTTTACATAATTATGTTTTTATCGTATATATTATATATAAAAAAAAAAAATCAGCAGGCAAAAATATTGAATGTTATTATTATTAAAATAATTTGGATCATTTTTAAATGTTAAAAATATATTTATGATCAAAGATAATATGATGTATAAGTTTTTTATGCGCAGCACTTATAT